GGACATAGAAAGCAAAAATAATTGAAATTAATGAAGCTTATAAGAAATAGAGCTGGTCAAATAAAACTGACTCCTTATTTTGATGAACTAGAATTAAAAATTGGTTGAGGACAAAGCCAACACGGATATAATATTTATACTTCTGATGGGCATTTAACAGTGTGCCACATGACACAGACTGAAGCCAGAATTACACAAAATTAACCGCATGGTGTGAAATGCATTACAATTACCCCCTCTGAATTGTATACAGAGCTCTGTCTGTATACAACACTATCTTCTACTCTTATTTTGAAAACAGTATAAAATTGGTTCTTGACTGTAACATTATTTAGTATTATTTTTAATAATTGGAATACAACATAAAATTACCTTCAAAATCTAAAGGTGAAAAAGTTTCAAGGGAGAGAAGCAAAGGTAACTAATGAATGCAATTAGTCACTTATTAAAAAGTTTGTTTTGCTTTCTGGCTGCAAACTGCATTCAAAGGACTGTGGAAACATATTTAAAGGACAGGTGTTCGCCAACCGCAGAAGCAACACGTCCGAGGATGATTTAGACTTCCAATCTGATGCCATGGCCAAGGCTGCTATAAAAATGAGGCAGAGTAGCAGTAGGGAGGGTTGATATTATGCAACTGTTTTAGCAATCCTGTTTTGCTATTAGTGTTCCAATTAAAAATGCATTTACATAATTTTAAAGGATCCAAAGAAGAGTGCCACAGATGAATAAAGGATTCAAAAGATTTGAGAGCTTAATCAGTTACTTTAAAAAAGAAAGCTGAAGAATGACTTGTTCAGTTTGTAAATGCCTACAGTGAAAACAGCAATGTCACAGCATGCACTTCAGTTTAGCAGACAAAAGGCAAAAGATCTGACAGCTGGATACTGAAAGATGACAAATTCAGGCTCAATATGAGAGGCACATTTTTAACAGTAAGTAATTACGTTTTGAACAATTTGGGTGGATTCTTCATCGCTAGGAGCTTTCAAATCAAAGCAGGATGCTTCCTCTAAAAACACGCTTTAGTTCAAACAAGAATTTGAAGAAGTCTTGGAAACTGTGCTCTACAAGAGAGCAGACTGAACACATGGTGTTTCCTTCTGAATCAGATTACACTGGAACAGTTAAGCTTGTCACATGGACGTACAGATTTACAAAGGGAAGAGAAGCCTCATGCATTTTGGACACTGGACCATACAATACAGTTGGGGACTATATGGTTGCATTACACAGCGGCCTGAAAGGAAGCATCACGTAGATACAGGAAGGGTGTAAAATTGTGTAGGTAGGGACCCTACATTTCTGTCCCAGGAATTAAGAGAATGAAAGCAGTAACAGCAAGCTATGTTCAACCTAGTGGATGCCAGAAATTTTGCATGCCAGGCCTCAGTCCAAGCCTGTGGGGGTACCGCTCCTTTCAGACTGTGTCACGGGAAAGAAAAACAAGACAGATGTAGTGCACCTGAAAGAAGGAATTCACCTTTTTGGTCTCAGTGAAATAAAGGTGAACAGGCCTGACATCCTGCAGATAGACTTCACCATGTAAAGAAAAAGCTAGCCAGAAGAGACACAGAGACCTGAAAATTTCCTGCTTGAATTGTACCCATACCTTTTACAGATACAAAATTTGCAAACACTGAGTTTCCACCCTCAGGGAATAAAATTACTTCAATTGATAGCACTCCTTTTTGGATGTAAAGTAATGAGATTCAAGTTATTGCTTTGTCTGGTGCCAAGTAAGAACCTTAACCAGAATCTCTTGTACCTTAGGACAGGATCTCATGCCACAAGGCTGCTGAATGTTCTGGGAATGACTGCCTAGTTCTCACTGTAAGAGTCATCTTTGAACAAAGAAAAGACCACGTAAAGATGGCCACATTTTGAAAAATGTGTTTTACTGAAAAGCTGGTATACAGATTTAGTTGAAGAATGTTCTTCAAGAGAGAGAGTAAAATTTTTCACTCAAGTAATTCTTTCAGTAGCCAAGATCCTCACTTCACAATTTAGAACTTCTGCATACCCAGCTAACAGGATTAAGACACAGTGTAGGAGTTCACCCTGCACAGACGGTGAGCATAATGTACAGTCATCACATGGAGATAAAAGTTCAGAGATGGAAAAATCCTTCCAGGTTGTTCATGACAGAACAACTGTCATCTATGGCAATGGTCACCCACAACAATATATTTTCAGTGTTCTGTATAGCCCACTTTTACTCATGTTCCTCCCAGAGACCCTTTAATTCATACATACTATTAAAGCTCACATGACTCTCTTCAGAGAGATACATCATAGTATCACTTTCGGATCTGCACTTTCCCACATGGGCAACATGCTGTTGTGGAGCTGAATGTAAAGCATGCTTTGGAACCAAGTACTCTGCGGTTTTACAGCATTAAAATAACCCACAAACTTTTCAAGTATATACTTTATTTCATTCATATTTCACAGTCTGTTTCTGTAAAGTTTTAGCAAAAAGGTCATGTTCTATAACAGAGTTCTTAGGCTACTGTTCTCAGAGCTGGCAATGGACTTCAAAAGTACAGAGAATGTTTACATTCCAACCAGAGCAGTAGAATTTCAAAAATACATAGTAAAAGTAATCAAAAATACCAACATTTATTAAAGCTTAACAGAAAACCAGCAGTCTGTCTGACCCATCAAGCTACCCTGCCTGCTAGTTGTCAGCAGCAACTGAAGCCCCAGCAGGCCATCTGACTGACTTTTTAGACTGGGACAGCTGTCTGCAGCTAACTTGTTAATGCAAAGTCTTGCTGCTTCAAAGGTCAAAAAAAATCTGTAAGTTCATTGCTTACAGGTTTCCAATCAGAGAGGCTAATGTTTCTCCTCAAATCCACTGGACCACTTCCGGATCCTGCCCAGAATCAGGACCTATTCTGGTCCTGATGTAGTCAACTAATTTTTTCAACGCAGTTCCAAGCTAACCTATTTTATTAAATTGCAGCCAAGAAAGAAAAGCCCTTATCGTTTAAAGGTTCATCAGGGCTTCTAGGAATAAAGGCAGCTAAGAGAAACTGAACAGAATGGTACTTGATGACATATCTTTCACTAGGGGCCTTCAACATTCTTTTTTTATAGATGTTGCGTCAAGATTTGCAGTTATCTAGGGATATGTTTCCTAAGGGGCCCCAGATTTACATATAATAGTTTCAGAGTGGATTTTTCTAGTTCAGCAAATACTATTTAAGTCTGGAATGATGCCCAGTAGGAGATTTCTAACCAGCTGCTGGACTTTATTCACAGATTTATTGAATATATATTTATACAAATTACACCAGCTGAAAGGTCCATCAGCTATAAGCACACCCACTTCAGCTCATCCTCAGTGCCATCAGGGAAAAAAAATACATGTGGTACTGTGTGGATTATGAGAGGTTTCTATCAGCAAGAGTCTCCCTAAGTTAGAGGGTATTACCCTGCAAGGCCAATTTTTCCTTCCTTATCAGAGCAGTAGAAATAGGATGGAGAAGAGGTCACCAGTAGACTCACTTTTTCTTGTCTCAAACAGCTAGGATTGGACTTTTTTTCTGACTTCCTTTCATCTCTAGGTAGCACGAGTCCATCATCATGTTTTCTAGGACAATCACTTCCTAAAAATATATACATTTGGAACTTCAAGTTCTCCTCTCTATTTGATGGGTAGAATAAGAATTTTAGGAAAAGTAGGAAAGATATCCTATGCATTTTCTCACACCTCACCTCTAGGCCTATTAAAGGTATCAGATCAATGGAACTGCCTCCTACTGCCTCCTCTCCTTCCTGTAAGAAGCTCAGAAGAAACAAGCTTATCTTTTGGGATTCTTTCACAAATGGCCTAAGGTACCATCACATCTATCCTGCCAAATGTCATTCGGTGCAGATATCACAACTGATTCCAAAAGAGCTAAATCGGACATATCCTATGTTATTACACTGTACTATGCTGCCTTCCTGCCTTCTGGGTTTGCTGGCTGAGTTTTGATATTGCTGTGCTGCAAGTTATGAGACATCCTAATATGCACGATTATAGCATGTATATTTAAAAAAAATACATGACAGAACACAGTCTATCAACATTTTTCTTTTAATCAATTCCCATGTACTGCACTAGTCTTCAGCAGGTGGGCAGGATACCATGAAAGACATGGCTATTAGTTTGCTACAGCGCCTCTAGGGAGAATCCTGCCACAAAATTTCTCTCTAGACCTATGGCTAGTACAAATATGACTGACACTTCTCCTCTCTGTGACGCATGTACGACATTTCTTTTCATCAGTCTAAGAAGGGGGAAACCCCTTACAAGAGGGAAGCCCCTTACAATTTCTCTAATGCACATATTTGAGGAAGACTACAAAAGCATTCTCCAGAGTCTTCTGCAATATTGATTCCCAGAGACATCAGAAAATGAAAAGGTCTAGTCACAAATTAGCAAGACATCCACTCTACTTTCAGGTTTCTTTTTTTAAAGAATCTGAAACAGATGATAGAAGTGATCAAAGCATCAAAATACCCAGTCACGTAGACTGCACAATTTTTTGAAAATATTGTCACGCAGAAAGGAACATAGCATAAACAATCCAGATTCCAAAACATCATTAGACAAAGCCATTCTTAGTTCTCTACACAGACTGCCTCTGAAAAAAAACCCTTCAGATTGAAGGGAGTGACATAGTTAAGTGTCTAGATAAATTGAAATGAAATAGATGTCTGTAGAACAGCTTTTGTAACATGACTACTGTGGATCTCTACTAGTAAGGCCTAATAGCTTATGCACACAGTGGTATTAGCTATATCTCAAGGCAAGCAGGCTAGGAATGATATAAATTTATGTGGAGGAAAAATGTTTTGTGTTTGGTTTTGGTTTTGTTTTGTTGTTTTTGTTTTGTTTTTTTAAGTTCAAACTCAGGTAGATAAAATTTTTAGGGAGATTATCCAAGCTGATATCTCTCTCCCTCTTTTCTTTTTCCCTCCTTCCCCCCCTTCTCTAGGTACGTTCATCTGATTTCTCTAAATAAAAAAAGAGAGGGAAGGGGGATGGGAGAAGGACTTGTTTCACCACAGGCCATTATGCTCTGTTTCCTTTCACCTCTTTTTTTTTTTATAGTTAGCAATCTGATTTCACAGAAAAAAGTTTAGGCTTGTAAACTAAAGATACACATACCAAATAATATGCAACTAGTCTTGCCAAATTAATCCTGGTGAATGAATATCTTCCTTGTACTGTTTTAAAAAAGTCACTGCAGTCTTTAATAACAATGTTTAATCTGTTAGCTACCAAGAAAATCCAAAGCCCCTTGCCTTGTGCACTTGTTAGCCATTAGTAACTATGGCTTTGGAACAAACACTTCCAGTGCAAGCCTTGTGATTTTCACTCACTCAACTGTACCAATCAAAATCAAAAGTATACTCATCAAAACACGTCACTTCACTTGGGTCGTAAGACACTCATCACTTTGACTAAAGACTGCAACGAGTATAGAATGCTGCTTCAGCACAAGCAGACCTCCACTAATTCAAACGCGTTACAACCCCAAAGCAAGGCTCCCTACAACAAAGGACAGTGACAGCCTAAAGATACCACCCCACCAACATAAGTTTTCTCTCCTCACACCAAGTCCCTTCATCTACTTGCAACTGATGATGGCCCAATGCTGGGGCCTGTTCTGCTGTCCCATTCTCAGAACTGACTATCTGAAGATGGGAATAGGAAGATGCTTGCTTGCAGAATACTGCAAATTACTGTCTTTTCACTGCAAGAATGGGAACATGCCAGCCAAGCTTCTCAAGTCCAAGGAAGCACACAGAGTTAGCACAGAATTCAAGGTCACACTGAAGTAGTAAGTACCCATTCTGTCAAGACCCCACCATGCTATTCCAGTCCCACAACTGGCTCTGAAGACAAGTTGTTAACGGCATGCCACTTCACAAGTCTTGGACTCAGAAAATGCTCAAGTAAAAGCTTGAGACAGGAAATAGGAGGCACAAAAATAACTTGACCAACAGCTATGTACCTTTTTACTACATGTTGGGATAAGTGGAGTCTTCAAGGTTGCCATTAGCTTTATCAGATCCTGTTAGAGATGCTTCTAGCTCTGCCCACGACTGTGGAGCATTGTTCTTTATTGCCTCTATGAAAAGCTGTGTTTGGTGCTTCAGCCGGTCCAGCTCGGCCTGAGTCACCTGGTTCTGATGAATGAGCTCCTTAGTTTTTAAAGTGATCTCCAGCAATCCCGACCTGCGTAGCACGACGAGTGTATTCTGAAAGCGTCTGCACTTGCTTTGTTGTTGCAAGAGCAGCTCAGGGGTAGTGCAAATCTCTTCTGGTATCAATGCGGGGCTCCACACTGCAGACTGCATCGTAGTCTGTGCTGCACTCTCACTCTCATGAGAGGTGCGCTTTGCTGCCTGCAGAGTTCCAAAAGGCAAAAGGGGAGTCAAACCCGGCACTTTCTGAGTGTCACTGGAAACACGATGAAAACCAGGAAGAGCTGGCAGTTTTCCACTTGTCAGAGTTGAAGAACTTTGCTGGTTAGAATCCTGAGTGGTCTTAAAACTAACTGGTAGGTGGGCAAAAGGACTAGTAGGCAAGCCTGTGCTCCTCGATACAGGAGAAGTCTCCATTTTGGGTGCTTCTGTGCAGAGTCGTTTATGGCAATTGGTTTCCTGACGTTCTTCTAGATCAAAGGAGTGATCTCTCTTGCAGGGCTGTGGTGCTATTTTGGGATAAGAATTCAGGATGGGCAGGTAATTAGTGGAGTCATTTCTCTTTTTCCCAACAGGGTGAGGGTTAATGGGAGGTGGGATTGATGGACGAAGAAACACTAGCTGTGGCTGCGCTGGAATCACTTCAAAGGATGGCTGCACAGTCCAAGATTGGAGCTGTGATGAACTCCCCTGAGAAGCACAAATGGGGAAAAACCAAAAGTCTTACAACAACATTGTAGAAGAGGATCAAAAAACCTTAAATGGAACAGGTGGACTGTGCCATTTCTCCATATTTGATATACACTGTCCAATTAATACGTTCTGAACAGTTTTCCATCAAACTCATCCTTCTCTTTTTCCAACAACAGAGCATAGCACTAGAATCAAAGCTGTAATTCATAATCCTTTTACTATGGAACAACAGATACATTTAAAAACAATTCAATCTGCATTTATACATGCTTTCCTAAATGAGGATTACAGTGCATGCTTACATTGTACAATGCTCATGTAAAAGTTTGACCCAGACTTGGGGTCGAACAACAAGTATACAGAAAAGTTGAAAAATAATTAAGCATTGTGGTTATGAAATATTTTAAAAGAGTCAAAGAAAGACTGCACAGACATTTTAGGAACAATTTAGACTCCCTCTTTGTTGAAAGGCAGCAACTCTAATCTTGTCAATTCTATTCTTATAAGAATTTTGAAAGCTTTTGAAATGGTTATTTAATATAGACGACAGCTGTTCAGTAAGTCTTGCAATCTGAAGTACAATACACAGTTTCAATAAATTTAAAACCATGAAGTAGAAAAAAAAAATGCCGTATATCAACCAATGCTTGCAGACTGTTGTAAGCCCAGAGCAGTTTAACTCCACACCTCTGGTGAAATGGTGTGCACTGATAAACCTTAGAGCATTATACCTCAAGAAAAATGCTCAAGTTTTTACTCCCTCCCACAAGCCATATTCTGCACTATAGGGGAATACATCAATTTTTACAAGATTATTACCTCTTCCTCCTCCCATACATTACCACAGATCTTCATGAGATCCCCTGGCCAAAAAGCATGCCTGCTTTTCTCCAAACATATCAAATGGTCTAGTAACAGATACTATTTCTTTCTGAAGCAAAATCTCACTTAATATATTAAAGTCATCACCACTACAATTATACCAATATAATATACTGTCAGCTGCTTTTCCAATTCCTTACAACTTGGAATGCTACTGGCAGGCCTGCTGAAGGCACAGTTTTTAGCTAGCACAAATACATTTTATTATTTTTGGTCCTATAACTGAGTCATCTGAAATCCATCTCCTTTCCCCCAGTCTCATAAGGTTTAAACTGGCAAATGCTAACATGCTTTGCTAAAGTCCATTCCCCCAGTAAAGGACCTGAACTTGTCAAAAGCAGGTGTTACCCACTGATTAGGACACTGAGACTTGGAGATGAGATTCAACTACCTACTCTGACATAGAATTTCTTTGGTTCAGTGGGCAAGATGCTTATGGAATAGAGGTACAAAACAACTACCTGTAAAAAATACTTATCACAGAAGAAAGGACAAACGTTCAAAAGAGAAGTATCCGGAGATGTTAGGAGTGAGGAAACATATGAGTACCACGGCTATACACACACAGAACAGAACATGCAGCGTTAAGGAGCAAGGTTTTGGGGTTAGAAATCGTCATTTACTGCACAATCGTACAGTATCCAGCACAGCAGAGCCCCAAAACCATTGAGGGCAAAAGAGCTGTGGTAACTGTTTATCTTGTTTTTTCGTACCTCTGTTATCTACTTTCTTCTCCTTTCCACTCATGTTGTGTTCCGCTCTTCTTGTTCTACCCAAAATCTCATTTTTATAGAGGACGACACGTTTATTTTACTACTTCTGCAAAGTGGTTTGGGTTTTTTTGTGGGTTTTTTGTTGTTTTGGGTTTTTTGTTGTTTGTTTGTTTTTTTTTTAAATGAAAGCTAACATCCTGCATGTATCAGTGTCACTTGTCTAAAAAGCCTTCCTACCTCTTAAGGACTTTTGCAAAACTTACAGAAACCTTGCCACAAGCAGCACTGTGTTTCAGAGAATTAATCCCTGCTTGATTTTTTTTTTTAGTAACACTATTGTTAGCTGTTTACACTCTGAAATTGGGACACCAGGTAACCACCACTGCGCAGGATCACAGTGATTCTAAGACACAAGGATGATGCTGATTGAAATTGAAACTGGAACAAATAAACAGCAGTAACTGGATGCTACTGCTTTTTTTTTTTTTTTTTTGTCCAGCGAGCCCAACTGAACACTGTGTTGAAAAGACTGTTTTAAAAAGATGACCAGCATGACTGAGGTAACTAGGCATAATGGCAAGAAGCAGAAAGACACTTCATTATTATTCTGACCTAGACTTGTTGCTTTTATTTATTGCAGTAAACATTTTTCAATTTAACATTATTGTTCTTAACCATACATAATTAGACTTAGATGTTATGACACACTGCTCAAGACAACTGAGTCTGGTAATTTTACCTACCTCCAACTCTTCCTCCCCAAATTCCCTTCTTGCTACACTACCAGTTGTTTGTTGGTTTTTTTTTTTTTTAAATATATATATATATAAAATTTAGCTACTTATTATTAGCTACTTCTTCTAACTGTTTGCAACACAACCTGGAGTTTAACATTAGACTACCACTGCAATCAGTGTTTTTCGGGCTCTGGGCCAAAGGCTATCAACCTTTGGTGAAACTTGCCTACTCCCTACTATATGAAAACTTCAGCATTTGTTTAGACAGTATTTTGTCCTCCACATATCTAGGAACATGACTATAAAATAAAATTGTTTCTTGCCAAGATAAAGCACAATGCTCAGAGACCAGAACCATCTCCCCCACAAATGCATAATCTGCTAAACACTAACAGAAACCCATACCTGTGTTAGCACTGATACACAGTATTTGAATTTAATAGGTTTTGCTTGTTGTCCAAACAGATTCAGTAGAAAAAGAATCAGGATCTACATTCTTTTTTCTCCTTCTCACTGTATTCTCAGAAGTATTCTAACAAAAAACGCTGAAGAACTTTTGCTCTCTTCAGAAAACGTGAGTGAGTACAGAGCAAGAGGTCTAATAATACGGCAATACTTTGAACTGGGACCTCTCCTAACTTTTACATTGTAACAGAAGATATGAGTCTCACAGATGTGCTGGGGGAACACCACATAACCAGATATTGGAGGACATATATAGGGAATGTAATTGTTGCAACGTGAGCCATTACATGCAATTAAGAGAAACAACTGTTAAAGCAAAAATACCACAGCTAGCTTCAGATATGGATTTAATTTTTTCATATATATATAAATATATGAAAATTTTTTCATATATATATAAATATATGAAAATTTTTTCATATATATATAAATATATGAAAATTTCATATATATATTATAACATTCTGGACCAGGGTTTCCCGTTGCACATAAAGCACTTCTAGGACCTAAGAACTAGGAAGCAAAACCTATCATCCTACTTTACTGTCTTTATTGAATGAAAAAGAAAACATCAGCTTTGAAAAGGAAAAACTCTCTTTTTTTGGTTTGATCTTTGGTGCTATTTACATAACATTCTTAAAGATCTAGTTTTCGGGGATCCCTTTGAGACAAACAGGTTTAGTAGATGTAGCAGAGCTTCTCCATCACATTTTTTCCATCTTAAGTGATTCTAGCTGTCCCTCAAAAGAACAGGCTGTCACAATAGAACTTTTCAAGTTACCAGTTACTTTCTGGACTGTAACAACTTTGTATAATCTTTCTGAAAGGAAAAATATTTTTAAAAAAACAATTTAAGAACATGCAATATTTTTCAATATATTATTTCTTCCCTACCTGCTTAACTAACACATTTTTCATTACGACCATAGGAGAAAGTGCAGGAAAGGAGTTGCTTGTTGTCATTGGGCATTGCCAAGGCCCATCCTCTGCGTTCCAACACAATGCATTCAGCACGTCCTCCGAGTCAGTCTGCTCCATAGCACTCAGGCCCTCTGAACTTCCATCTGCCAGATGTAGAATTCATCTGTTAGTTGTTTCACATGCAGCATGCTTGCTACCTCCTTTCAGTTCTAGTATTCTGCTTCCTTTCAACCAAGCCACAAAGAACAATAAAGTTTAGTTCTGGAACACCAATAAAATTAGACCTGCTGTGACAGCTGTCAAATAGCTTTTAATAAAAGGCTTTATATTCCAGGACAGTTCTCATGCAGATGTTGTCCCCCAAAAAATCTATTACTTTTTGTTCTTTTGTATTTAGTCTCCAAGAGACTGCACGCTATCATGAAGACTGCTCTAAATCCTGGTGCAGGAAAGAACTACAAGCTCCAGCATTGCCACAGCTGTAGTCTGTGCTGCGGGCATTTTGTGTCTCGAAATCTTCTATCTACAAACCCAATAAGGCAGGTATCTCTCAAAAAAGCATTTTGTCTTTCTTTTAAAGGCAATCTTTGCACAGTTTTGTTGAATATTAAAATGGCACACCATGTCTACATTTTACTGAAGTTATAACCCTTACTCTCTGGTTTATAAGGCTCTACTGACAATCTGGTCAAATCGTAAGAGACATTATACAGCATAATCCAACAGTTCACTCATCACTGCAAAGAACAAAAAGTAATTTTGCCATCCCCACTTCTGGACTCCGAAGTCTGAGATTCTTCTATTCATTTCTTTATTAGGCACATTTTAAATTCCCATGCCATTCAAATTTACAGGATGAACTTTCTAACTACATAAACCTCCACTCCAAAACAGTTTGATGGTAGGATGATTGCTGATGCAACCTGTCTTGCATACAAAGGCCCTCCCAGGTATGTCTCAGTATGAGACACAAACTGTAAGGGGCTAGAGTCAGATTCGTCAAACCTCACCAATAAAAGCAAAGTCTGAGCAAGATAACACAAAAAAAGGTAATGCAGTCGTTTTCTAAACCTGAATATCCGGAGTCCTTGTCAGATTCAGCTGCCGCCATGCTGAAGTGACAGTTCAAGCTCTTCATTTCCGTCACTTTGCCCAAGGGTTCCTTGCAGGTCTCCATAGATGACTATTTTGTCTCCATGCTTCCATAGCGCCGCAGGCAGTTTTTAACACCTTTTCCATTGAGGAACTACAAAAACAGTTAAGAACAAAAAGGGACTTTCTCTGAATCTAAAGAAAGTTCCACCAGTATAAGACAACAAAGGCGGCCATGTTTGTCCCTATGGAAATCTGGTTATCAAAGGGTTGCTGCATGTGTTAAGCAATCTGTAGAATTCTATTAAACTCCCAGCTTCACATTTGCTGTGTTTATCACACATTTAGGTTAGCAGAGGCTTGGCAATAAAACCACGGTTCATTCCCTGCAAAACTCTCTAAACTATGCATGTTTAATAACGCATTACAGAGTAGAAAAGATAGGCAACAATTCTTTGCATCAACTGACACAATACTTTGTAGAATCTTCTGGACTAAAGTTTTCCAGCTGCCTTAGGCTGATTTTTTAAGTTTCAGGCAAGTTTCTATGATCCAATCTTTCAGTCCCCTGCACCAACTACAAGAGAACAATATCATACTAGGCATGGCTGTTAGTCCTTCAGGGTAGGTTAAAAGATGCCAAAAACCCGAAGGCATAGGAAGGAAGAAATTAATCAAAACAGAAATATAGTAGAGATATTTTACTTTTTTTAAAAATTCTTTATTTTTTACTACTGCTGTGAATGCCATCAATGAATCAAAGGTATTTTAGAAGTACTGAAGACATGGATGCAGTAGAAGGGGCAGAAACGCACCCGTCTCGTTCAGCTCCTTCCTTCAGTGGCTGAGCAAGTCAGACTGCAGAGCACAGGTCAGCCCATCTTACTGAATTACCTGAAGTAGAACTATTTCATACTTAAAATTACCGAGTAAAGTACACGGTAGATTCATCTGGAGAGCACAATGCCTAAGTAATTTCTAACTGTTATGAATTCTGTCACACAAGGTAATAATTCTTTACTGTCCACACAAAACTTGGGAAATAGGATCATGATTTCTTGATCTGCTAAAAATGTAATGCCCAATTCTACAAAGTTCAGCAAAGTGGATAACCAAGATAAAACAGCAGATACAAAGTGTATGGTTGTTATCTGTAATTAAATCAATGCCCCTCTGAGTCAAGTGGGATAGTTGCGTATCTCTTTTTTCACTTGCCAGTGAGCTAATTGGAGACTTTCAGAACAGAAACATCTCAAATTATTCAAAGAATGAAATGTAGATAGAAAACTAATGTATTAGACATGTTTCTCCACCCAAAAAAAGCAAAACAAACTAAAAACTAAAGGCTATTCATAAACAAGATTTTTTTTCCAGATTTAAAAGTTACTTGGGGCATATTTATCTTACAAAAACTTAGCTAACCCAGGGACTGTATCCCAAAACAAGTCAGCTGTGCTGGGCAAAGCCCATAAAACAAATACAGCTGAACCCGCAAAGCTATGGTTTTGTTAATACAGTCTGTTTCACTCTCAGGAGTAAAGTCAGTCATCAGAGAAAATAAATAAAGTGATCAGAGAACATGCTGGGGCTAAAGAAATCCATACTGCTAAAAGCGCAACACATACTATACCGGCAATGCACTCCTAGGGGAGACATGGCCTTAGAAGTACCCTCTTCTTCCCACACCCAGAATGAGAACACCGGAAGGCTGAAACTAAAAGCTATGAAAATCAGAAAAATGTATAGTTACATTATGGCCTCCCATATTACATACTTCAGCTGCTTCCTGAGGGTAGGCAGACTCTAGTAAGACAGCACATAGTTTCTGCTTCTCTTAAAGAAAGTAGCTGAGAGTTTGGCTAACAGAAAAATGACAGGATGAAGTGCAGAAATTACGTCTAATATTATTTGTAGAAATTATTTTCCTATAAAGTAATCCTTTGAAGTTGTGTCTTATGTTAGAGCTGTATATTTATATTACAAATACAGGAACTCAGAAGTCCACATGACAGTCAGGCCAGCAGTCCATTCATGGCAGTATCCAGTGCAAGCTACTTCAAATAACATTGCAGCAGACATTCTGAATAATATACCCCGAAAGGCAAGTTTCTTCTGAAGGTCCTGACAACTGGTTGTTAGAATTCTGCTCCAAGATCTCAAGCCTTGGCACCTCCAGTAATGAATTCTGTACGTTAGATAACAGTGGTGAGATGGTAAGGTGACTGTCTATATAACTACAAGAAAGACAGAATAATCATCAGCAGAAGAGAGTTTCCTCAGTAGCTGTTTGCATCATTTTTACTTTCCACCTTCAGTCACACCTGCCAACCTGCTAACAAGTATGGTGCAAACATAACTACATAAGAGCAACCTAGATACTAACCCTGGAATGGAAGATGAGGTTTACGTCCCGATCCACGCTTTTGTTACTTAGCCCTTTCCAAAACAAATTTATTTTTTAAGAAAGTGATGCGTATTGATGCTAATCTCCAAAAAAACAGAACTAGAAACAGAAGGAGGGCTAGAAATAAGAAGAACATGGCATCTGCTAGCCTTGCATCAAGGGACGCTTTGGGAAGGGCTGGCACATCTCCTCTTTCTTTACGGAAAAAAACAAAACAACAACAACAACAATAAAACCACAAGCGAAAATAAACAAACCAGAAGGGCCACTCTCTCGAGACGCGGGCGTGGGATCCCTCCTACCCACCTGCGGGCCAGAGACACCCCCGGCCCGGCAGGCAGGTGCTCCGCCGCGCACCGGCGGGAAGCACCGATCGCTAACCCCGAGGCCCAGGGCCCTCCCTCC